TAGCAGAAAAAATCAGAGCTCGTTGACAGTCGGGTGGTTAATGGCATCCTGAGTACTTTTGTATGTATGCACGCATGCTTATGTGCTTCTTTTCGTGTAATAAATATCCTCTCACTTTTCTAAGCCCATGGCAGAAGATAAAAGGTTGCAAACTTCAGAAATCTCATAGGGAGCCTTTGCCATGTTAGGTTGTTCCAGTTTGATTTTTTTTTTTTGTAAGTGAAATGCAAAGGGGGGGGGGCTTTCTCTTATTTGGTAGATGGAAAGTGCCTTTGATTTTTCTGAGGAACAGTGCTGCAGAAGTGTTCAGTTGGTCTAGGCCCAGTGATTCTTCTGCAGGGTGCTGTGGCACCCTGCAGTGCCTTGAGATCCTTTCAAAGGTGTCACCTCATGTTAGTGTTAAGTGTGCAAACATTCATGAGAGAGACCCAGAAATTTCAAATAGGGATTCACTGTGTTCAAAACTTCTGACCTGTTGGGGTCTTTCTGAGGTTTTTACAACAGGAGAATTACTCTAATCTTTCTACAATACAAAAAATGAATAAAAGCTAAGAGCTGGCATTTTTGGAGGGGTGCCTTGAGTTTAAAAAGGCTGAGAACTGTTGTCTGTAACATCCCCTTTCTCGTAAACCAAGGGAAAGGAGAACTGTCTCTTAGATTTCAGCCTACTGTGTTCACCCTAACTGGGCTCCATGCTTTGCTCAACTCTTCCAGGAAAATGTTGGAACCATGAACCATGAGCTAATGCTGTTGCACTGGATATTTTCACTCTGGCTCTGATCCATGCCCACTTTCAAACAGGAGAAGCTTGAGAAACTTGGGTGGTCTGTGCAACACCAAAATGCTGTTAAGGACAATTTAAAAAAAAAAAAGAGAGAGAACCCCTTCCCACCCCAGCATGTGAAACAAAATTGCAGTAGATGAAATGACAAGCTAAGGTAGAAGCTGTAAACCTGAAGTGTGTGTGTGTGTGTATGCGCGCGCATAGGTGGGACTGCACAGTTAATTGCATGAAAACTTTGGTCAGCTTTCACCATTTTTAAATTAAATCCAAGCTAGACAGGCTTAGCTGTAGGAAAGGCTAAAGTATGTGCTTGTTGCATCTTTACTGAGGGTCCTTAGCCAGTAGAAGAAAATGATCATGGACATTGTAGGCCTTTGAATTTGGTGCACCTGAACAGAAAACAATGAGTTGTCTGTGCAGGTGAGAGTATACTAAAACTAATCTGGAGACTGATCTTTTCTTCCAAGCAGGGGCAATAGCTATTCTTCACCAGCCAAGTGACTTATGTACTCTGTACTATGCAACTTGTAAAGCATGTGCTGTCCATTTGTGCACATGAAGCCGGCATTTTACTTCACTTAAGGCTTGTGGCTTGAGGGTGCCAATACTCTCAAGCAAAAGAAAGATTTGTTGCTTTCTGGGTTTAATATCATCTTCTGGACCCAAACACAGCATGTAAACAGTTGTCCTCCCTGGGGTGGGTGGGAAAGCAGTTTGCTGCTTTCTCATTCCTGGCAGGGTTGGGGAAGGGTGGGGAGAATGTCCAAAGCAATAGGCCTCGTTTGTACATGTCAGATGACTCGGTGCTATTTTACAAATGATGCATGGGAGCATGTGTTGGGGGTGTGGGATCCCCTCTGAAGTGGGATCAGGTGGAAGTAAAAGTATTAAATTAAATGAAAGCATCTCACCAATGCATAAAGGCTGTAACCTCAATTTATTTTTCTAGCTACCTGCAGCCACCCAATAAAGCAAACACTGTAAGAATACTGTCACCTTTGTTTCATCTCTGCATCCTGAGTTTGTTCCCTTTGCATTAGGTGGAATAAACTGCTCTGCAGGAGAAGGAAATGGCAGCACCCCGAGGTCCCTGCCATTCTGCCTTCCACAGGCTTCCAGGCCCTGCTTCACAGCAGACTGCTGTGAAAAGCAAGCAGCTCTAAAGCTCTGTTCTTTGAGTTTGGTGACCTTGCTTGATGGCAGATCAGTTTTCAGTCCAGTTTGCAGTATCAGACTTGACTCCTAGAGGTCAGGTTCTATCACCCTTCCAGTTTTTTTCCTCTTACAGAACTGTAGAACAAAAGACCAAGCAAAAAGGAGGGTCAGGATGTTCTGAGCTGTGAAAGATGGAAACACTTCTGCAGACATAGCAATCCTTTCCTTAAAGATCTGGGATAACTAGGACAGGAACAAACTTCCATAGCAGTGGGACACCTTTTAACAGAGGTTGTAATGGACCACTCCTTCCCCCTGTTAGTGACAAATTACTTGCTCCTGTAGCAACTACAAGTATTACTTGCTTTAAAAACAGAGGAGAAGGGGTTTGACATGTCTTAGCTGTCGTTCAATATCATTTTTTGGCTAGAAATAACCAGTGCTCCTATACACTGCAATTCTGGGAACCTTTGAGCTACATTATTGTGGATCAGGGTTGAAATCTCATGGCAGCTTGGAGAGTGAGTCTGAATGTGAGTGTTTGAATTTAGCTAATGCTGTTTGGTCCTGAGTTTCATGGTTCCTAATAAATGTTGTCTGAACTGCTTCGGGGGAGGGCATACTTCACAATGGTTATTAGTGACAAAGGTAGAAATAAAAACCTAGGTGATAGGTATATAAATGCTGTCCCATCTGGACCTCCTCTGTGCAGTCCATGCTTGTTCTGTCACCAGTGGAGTTCTGCTGGCAGTAGTGTGTTTCTCAGAAAATTATAGCTACAGTAAACACAAGCTTGAAGATCTTCCCTGGGATGGAAGTAAAATGGCATTATCTGAAGAGCCTTTAAAACAGTCCTCTCCCCTCATCCAAAAAAGGATGAGGAGAGAGCCATTTTTTCCTTTCCTTTTAAGAATATCTTGCTCAAACCAGCTCTTTGGGAAAAGGCACAGGAAGAATGAAAGCCGCATCTCAACGCGGGACATTACCTGCCATCAGGATTCTCTGTGATGGATTTGCACAGGGGCCTAAGGAGGAGGCGAGGGAGCATTTTTACCTGGGGCTCTTGGGGTCCTCAGTAAAGAATTTTATTACATGACAGGACATTAAAAGGCACTGATAAATAAGTGGAGCAAGTACCATATTCTACAACAGAATAAAAAGATTAAATTGCATATATATCAAATTACTGTGTGGGAGAGATTATTTTATCTGTGGTTTACAGAGGAAAAGGACATTGTATCCCTATCTTGGAGAGCTTGTCTGATCCTCAGGGTAATAGTCTGACATTGGTGGCATTATTCCAACTTGGTGCACAGATGTGCCTGTATAATCTTTAGAGTATTATGAGGTTTTATATTCCTTCTGTCAAATTGCCATGATAAATCCAGTCCCAAATTGATACAAGTGACTTCGGTTTTTTTATTGTTATCCTGATTTCTACTGAATAACTTTGATATTAGCAGGACTCAGTATGTTGTAAGCCAATGTTTGATTCTGGACTGTAGCCATGTGTATAATACATAGCACAGATATTTTTCCCCTCCTCTGGTTACTATGTATAGAAGCAGAGAAGATCCAGAAGAGGTCATGATGAACTCTATATGTTAATTAAAGAATTAAAAAAATTTTAAAATACATATGCTTCATGGGGTAGTTTGTTGGGTTGTTTTTAACTTATAGGCTTCAAACTTTAGTAAAAGTGGATAGTCTGTAGGGTTTTGGTTGTTGAGCTGAGGCATACTGTTTCTCTTTAACATAAACAGAGGTTAAAGTACTTACATGCACAATACATAAAACTGCTCTGGTAGACCTTTCCCTTGGTCTAGCTAGCAACTTGCTTTCCTACTGGAAGACCTTATCCTCTTGCAAAGAGCTTCCAATAACCAATTATACTGTGCTTGCTTCCCTGCTACCTCTAGTTTGTTCATCCTAGAAAGATTTTTAGCTAGGAAGTTGCACACAGTGCTACGCAGCAACACTTCTTTAGAATATAAAGGAGTCTCGGCATTGCTGTGGCTTTCTCCTCCTTGGTCCCAGTTCTTCTGTGCAGTCTTGATCTCTGTGCCGTCTTAGGCCTGTAGGGCTGGCTGTGGGTGGCTTCTTCAGACTGCTGAAAACAAACAGTTTAGTCCCAGCATGGTTACTCTGGCTCCTGTGGATGCATCTGTTTTTGCCTAAAGACTTTTTAGAATAAACTTCAGCACATTTTTGCACTGAAGCCTGCAAAACGCAAATGCATTAACAACAGTCTTTCCACTGAAATTCAGCAAGAATCTGTGCCAGCTATTTCCATTTGGAAAAATAACAAATGAGGATGTTTATGGAAGGAGAAATGGAAGTTCTTGGTACCAAAATGGAAGGATAATTTTATGTTTAAGGCATACAATTGGCACCCTAGAGACATGGGTTGGTTTCTGGATTTTCCATCACCCTACATGGTCTTAAGTCACTTGTCTCAGGTCTCTGCTGAATAATAGGTGCCATTCTTGCCCATTTGTAAGATATTTAGGACAAGGACTATGTAACTATCAGCACTAATAATGAGCTAGTTTGAACCCTAGTTTTAAAATCCAGTGTCATCCTTTAACTTGGAGTCAAATTATTTCCCAAAGCCTCAATTTCTCTATACTAAAGATCCTTCTTTTAGGGATGTGACTGGACTTCAGTCACCTCTCTTGTACCACTGGAATATCTGCCCATATGACTTTGGCTCCTATACAGCATCAGCATCGTCTTGGAGGAAATGCATTGCTACGATTTTGCAAGCTGTGGAAAAAGATGAGTCTAATCTAGATGTGACTAATTAGAGATTTCTGTGGAAGTAAAACGGTGCAAATTTAATTATAGAAAGATAATTGTGTTTGTTTTGATTTGGTTAAGTAATCATCATATTTGTTTAGTTTATAATAAAAACAGAAACAAAATAGAGGGCTAAGCCTGGTGGTTGGTAGGAAGGGGTGTTCCAGTTCTTGGGTTGTGGATCTTGACTCTTCTGAAGCACTGTTATTTTCAGTTGTATTTTGAGACCGGCTTTTTTGCTTTTCTTTCTTTGTTTCTCCAGGGTGACCACTTCTGGGGTAATGGAGGGGATGAAGAAGGTCAAGAAGGTGATGAACGGTTCAGCAGAGTCCCAGGGCGAGTGGGAGAACACGGCATGATGGCCTGATCCCCTGGACCAAGGCAGCACTTTCAGAGAGACTTTTTATGTTTTTAATTTATTAATACACCTCTCAGTGGAAAGGGAGCAACCTGTACTTCCCAACACTGACACTGCAGTGGGGCGTGTGTAGGGGGAGCAAAACATTGCAAAAAATACCTAACTATTCTTTTTTTTTTTTTTAAGAAAATGGAATTTCTTGCTGTACCTGCCAAGAGCGTGACACTTTCCTATGGATGCAGGGGTGGCTTTGGTTTTCTTTTCGTAATATTATTTTGCCCCCTTTCTGGAACAGGTAGATGATCCAAATTGCTTGGCAGCATTATTTGAAAAGTGTAATACAAATGGAGAGAGAGAGAGACCTTTTAGTGTGTATGTAAAGCTTATAATTATATAATGCATATAGATACACACATGCTCTGTAACATACATGCTGGAGTTGACCATATCATGAAAAATGGGGAAATGGAAGAGGGTATGTGACTCTTTTTTTGTAAACTTCTGCCAAATCAGGCAGGCTTCTTGATGGGCAGGAGGGAGACGGTGAGGAGGCTGTAAAATAAACTAACATAAATGATCATTTGGAAAATGTAACCAGATACTGGATCAGAGATGACTCTTGCCATCTTTCCCTTTGGTGAAGTCCAGAGGTTGGTCTTTTCTAGTCCATGCAGGTATATACTGGGATGCATCAGTTTTACGCATGTGCTCCATTGAAAAACATCATGGTTTGAGCTCTTTGTCCTTCAGGCTAAGTTCTGATTTCCACTGTTGGGAAAGTTACTCTGTATTTATGCACCGATGCAGAAGAAATCAGAATTTGGTACTTGGGCCCTTTCCTATCAGCTGGGTAACCCTGCTTGTTAGGGACCTATGGGATCATTTTAAGTCTTGATTCTTAAACTGTGACACGGAACGTTTTGGTTTGCAATATGAAATGTTTGA